GAGCGAAGACTGGGGTGCAGTGATGTAGACTTGCAGAGCGATGACGCGAAGGCGGGCCAAACAGCCGAATGCAAAGCAGAACCCTCGTTCTTCCTTTCAGGCGAATCTTGCACGTTTGCAGGAGGGCGCTGGGCTACCGGGTCTACCTCAGCACAGGGCTGCGGGCGGGACAGCCGAGGTCTCTCATAGGCTCCTTGCAGATGATTAGGTTAAATTCAGAGCGGCGAATGTTTGTGGGTCATAGGGTCCTCGTTTGTCCCTGTGCAGGTTCAGAAATAGCTGCGGGCACTACGCAGACCTTCCTCCCTGCCGAGAGTTCCATGCAAACGTGGACGCACATTGCAGTCCTGCCCTGAGCCGTGCAGCGTGTTCTTGACCGAGTGCCTGAGCATTTTCAAGTCTCAATGTTTGCATTCGACCGTCGCTTCTTTGCCTTTTCGGTTTAGGTGTTCACCCGCTCGCAGCTCGTCGAGCAGACGACACCGGCAGGTCTTTCATGCATGAGTTCTGCTTACACATGACAGGCCTTAGGGATCGATCAGGAGTAGCCGGGGTTATGCATCAGGTTTCATTGCATTCTACGCAAACTGCAGCCAGGCGCAAGCATCTCTGACACATCATCGGTTTCGACCATCGACTTTCGTGATGATGCCACTTGCCTGGAACAGAGGTGTCGATTCAGTAGCAGGGTAGCTGCGATATACCATGCGAACAGACAGACACAAAGACACAACGCACACACAAAGACACAGAGACCAGACACACACACAGACACAAACAAACAAACAAGTTATAATCAGTCCCTTTGCTTTTTTTTTCAGGTTGCCTACTGCACACGGAGCTTGCGACATTTCGTCGTCGAGTTTGGCATGCATGTTCCCCCGCAAAGCCAAGTGACTCCTCTTACCTCAGACACCTCAGACTAGTTGCGCAATATGCGCCATGCCTGGGCAAGAGCGCAGCTCTCCCTGGTACAGCACACAGCACAAGACAAGGAACCTGCACTGCAAGCCTCGGAATATGAACAAAGATCGAGCAAAAGCAAACGCAACAGAGCGGCACATCCTGCACTCAGCCGACAGCAGCACTGAGAATTCAAGGACCTTGACGAACTCGAAATTGGCGGCGTGCTGTTCTGGAAGAACGGTAGCGACTTCACCGAGGCCACCCATTACGAGGCGACGCCAGCAACACGACCATGTGTGTATCCTCGTGTCAGTTGAAGGGTGAGCACCCAACAGATTTTTGGGGATCCAGACATGGGCCCCTGTCTCCGACACTCATGTCAAAGCTGCTACTGTAGCTGCCAAGGAGAATGTTCACCCTCATTTTCTGTTGGCTTCAATGTGAGATAACAAGAACGGCCACGGTGAGCTCTAATGAGACCCAAACCCTGCGCGAAAGCCTTGCAAACCCAAGCACCTGTCATAGAGGGGCTTGTGAGGGCAAGTGCCTCCCGGGCCCTGAATGAAGTCCCTAGCCGAGGTCTATCTCGCCGAAGACCGCAACGGCCTCCGCCCCAGCTCAGCGCGCCGAGATGGCTTAGTAGTGTCAGCGCATCGAGTTTCTTTGCAATCTCTTCGAAGAGATCAAATGCTGTAGCTGAAGTGCTTGCAGGGTTTTCAGTGGCTGCGGCATTTTTCCACAACGTGTTGAGCACGTCGCTACCGTGGCCTTTAGGTACAATCGATAACTTTGGTTGTACACCGAGGCACGAACCGTTCCTACCTGGGCAATATTTCGGATGGCGCCAGTTTCGCTGCTGGGCGCGCCATGAGCATGTCTAGGTTTTCTCGCTCCCGGCAAACTTGATTGATCTGTGCAACATGCTCTGTTCTGGTGCTGCCTTGATTTCGAGTGCGGGCCTTTGGCGACAAAGAGCTCGAGAGAGCAGAAGCCGGTTTGGTAGACCTGTCGGCGAGCCTTTGAGGACGTTCCCGCAGACACGGCCCTGGAGGCGTTCAGCCGCTTGGTCAGCACATCTTTCTGCGAGGCTTGAGGTCTGGAAGGGGAAGGGAATCTCTACGGACACACACCCGAAACACATCCGAAGTCGCTTTATTTGAGGCCACCTGGTGGTCTACGCCCGCTCGGAGCTGGTGGAGCAAAGCACGCCTGCAGCTGCTCGCCGCAGCTCGGAGCACAGAAGTGGCCCTAACCTTTTGAAACGAACACTCTGTGGGTTGTTCAGGGTTGATATAAGGATCCGTGCAAAGCTCCCAAACTGACTAATGGTCGCGGATGGCCAGCTTCCATCTCCAGGTATCGTCGACACTGTTGCGAGTGTCTCAGCGGTGAGCTTCGTCGACCTGGACCTGGATGAAGATGAGCTTGGAGGTGTTTAGTGGGCCTTGACACCGTTGTGGCGGCTAGCTTTCGGATCGATGCCCAGTGGCAGCATCCGCAAGATGCAACGAACAGTCAGCGGCCATCATTGTCACGCCATACCGGGTCAAGATCATCAGCCATCACAAGCATCACCGACAATGGTCACCACGCTCATCTTGGCCGTCAGTATCACGATCACCGATATCATCTTCATCACGGCTGTCATCGGATCATCATCTTCATTTGGGGAGCAGCATTAGATTCAGCGAACTCTTGCGTGATTTGTGTTCACACGCGCTTTTTGTGGCAACTTCTCCGTTGAGCGCAGGACGGTGCAGGGGATGTTGGATTTCCTATAAGATGCATGCAGGTCACTTGCTTTGGCAAGAGCCGTCATCCACCGAGCGAGTCGAGACGCTCGATTATGATTGACACCATACATTCCCGAAGCAGCCGCAAGAGCTTTTTTGCTGCGGGTTGCGCCCTCTCCCCGCATCAACTCGGTAAAGCACATGCAGTACGGCAGTACATCCTTTTGAATCGTCTATTGCTAGCTTTCTTCCTAGTATTGTTGTGTCGGATCTGAGCCGTCGGTCTGTGTGAGGAACTTGATTTCACAAAGACGCGGCCATGCGTTCGTTGCCACTGAGGTTCTACGTAGTGTACCTTGCCCTGGACTCGGTCGGCACTGGCCGCTCCCTAGCTGCTGGCGGCTTGGCGTAGAGGCAACAAGGCAACAATCCCTGCGATCGACAGCCGACGGTACTCATCAGTATCAAGGCAATGAACTTCAGATATGGCATAGGGGTTTCGCATGATTAGCACAGCTGTAGCAGTGCAGCAGCACCAATATGGTCGGCATGATCTTGTGGCATCCCCTCGACGGTTCGGAGTGCTCCAATCCGAGGTGGAGAAGTGCTGGTCGGTACGCAGCGGACCACGTTGCCGGCGGACCGCGGGCAGCAAGCGGGACAAGTTTTCGTTACATCAAGCGGGCTAACATTCTGTGAAGCGAAGCTGCATTGCCTGCTCTCGCTCATGCAGCAAGTCTTTCAACGTTCCGATGGGTACCTGATGCGCCGTCCTGTCCACTGCAGCCTGGGTGATGAATACCTCAGGACACCAGCATCTCCAGCTTCAACCACTTCCTGGTGGCTTATGCTACACTTCGGAAGTCCCAGCGAAGTTCAACCACTGTAGCCTCCACCCCCGAAGCTTACTTGAGCCTAAACCTACATCAAGTCAACCGGTGACAGCCAGCAGCCAGTGGGTAGCTTGAGCTGCAGTTTGCTAAGGTGTACACGAAGTCGGCCTTGGCAGAGCAAAGCACACCCGTGGGCGTGGCACTCTACGATTCCACGGCCTTTGTAGGGAACCTGTCCTTCGCGGACAAGGCCGAGATGGGCATTGCTGGGGATGGGGGCATTTGAGCTTTTAGGGTTCTGGGATGTGAGGGTGTCGAGTGGCAGTGGCAGCCCGTTGAGCGTGAGACAGCGGATCCGACAGCCCCTCGAAACTTGAGCAAGTTTCTTGAATCTAACGCCCAAAGAGCGGAAGTCTGAACCCTGAATTCGCTTCTGGGAGGACTTGGACGTGACGGAACTGGGAGGAAACATCACTTGGTTCCCACCTGCCGATGACCGGCTGGTGACCTTCGGAATGAAGCCAGTTCATGAACGTCACTTTTGGGACTTACTGTTCTTATCGCTCTAGAGCTCTAAAACGATGGAAGGTGCATTTGAGTCCTATGGTCAGGGAGTAGCATCGAAGTTTGTGCGGGTACTTCGGCTTCGGGTTGTCGCATTGGGGCGGCGCCTGTCTTGACTCGCTACAAGATGCAGATGCTTCCGTCCAAGTCGTGCAGCAGGAACTCTGCCTAGCCTAGGCCCGAAGGAAAACAAAGTTTCGCACAAGACATTGTCTCTCACAGCACTTTAGATGAATATGGCCTCCTCGTCATTAACTGAGGCTGGGCTATAACATCTTCTTTGCCGATGATGCAGTGTGTCAGGACACTCTCAGAAAACTGTCCGGGTCGGACGGAGTTCGGAAGCTCGGGCTTGTTCTTAGCTCGGTCTTCTCCTGGCCATTCGATGTCAATGTTTTGGAATATGCCAACTTGATCGCACATGTGATGAGTTATTTTTTTTGGCCCTCAGTACTTAACTTAAAGACATTACTTCATCTCATTCTCTTTGTAGAGTAGCTGTGCCGGACTAACTCTTGTCCGGCACTCTTGTCCGGCATATCCGTATCCACTGTCAAGACTTATGCACTTCCTCGGGCTGCAGTGACCGAGCAGCTGCAGTGTTAAGACATTCTCTCGGCGATTTGGAGATAATTGGCTTTCGATACGTTTAGCAGAGGTGTGGCATGAATTGAGGATGGAGCCTGAAACATGTTTCTTCAGACTAGAAGGGGTTCGAGCGACTTGGATTCGAAATTATCTGGGAGAGGACATGGCATGCCAGAAGCTGTTGCTCGAAAGTGTCGCGGCAAACGAGAGCCTGGTCATCGTTTCTCCGGACACCCAGATTCTGAACTTCACCCACGTACTGGTCTACGTCTCTTCGAGTGAATTGTAAGTGCTGGATGCGACTGTAGAAACCTTGCCGACTCCCACTACTTCTGCCCAAGCTTGTTGAGGCAACGTCCGGGTTCTCGGAGCAGACGACTCCTGCAAGCCACCAGATTCTGGATGCCAACGCCTCCGTGTCGAGCATCCGCTTAGTGGACAAAGACCTCGAGTCCGAGGATCAAGAGGGGCTTGGCACTGCATGCGCAAATGGAGGTGTCCTGATCCCCGTCTCTTCTCTTGAACCACTGGAGAGAGTCAGGAGCTTGGCGGCGATGTGTCCTGGACGCCTCCGGAAGGTGCGTTCGGGTCGTGCCCGAGAGATCTGAAGCCTTGCGTAGGCCCATCTCATCAGAAGATGTAACGAACAGTTGTAGCTTCGAAAATTCAGCATCGGAAAGTTAGAGCAGAACCCCGAAGCAAATGCTGGCACTCCGCGATGTTGGGCACAGGCTTCCTGGAGAGGGTGGATGCCTACGTGCTGTACCTGAGTGCCCTGGGTCGGAACGTTGATACAACCTGTACAAGATCCCTGAAGGCATGATAAGTCTGCATACACTGATAGGCCAAGGTCGAAGAGTCATCGTGAGATCATACGAGTCTTGCATCTGACATTCGCTACGCTTGCTGCTTGAGGTTGTTTACGACTCTCAGGTGCCACTGAAGGCGGTGATCAGCGCCTCAGCCTTGGCACGGAGGTGGCGGTGGGAACAGACATCAGGACAGATTGTTCGGGTCGGGGTTGCGGATCGGGATGCTGCCGATGTCGGAAAGCCGAATCAGTTCGGCGGTTTGATCCCGAAAGAGCAAACAAGTTCAAAAATCTGGACCGTGTCGACGTGTTCGGTGTTTTGACACAAAGACGGGGTACTGTGGAGGTAGACATTTTTCGTTTACTTGCAGCCGGCTTCTTTATGCTTGTGCGACGTGCTTCTAACTTCTGCTGTTTTCGGCTTACGATCTTGAGTCTTAACTCTATGCCCTTCGCTCTTTGCTTGTTGTGTTTGTCATTGTGCTCGTTCCTTTCGGCACTTTTGCTGTTCACTTCTTGACATCTGAGTTTCTTTACTTTGTTCGCTTTGTCCTTGCGCTCCGTGGTTCCATATATTCTGCGTGCTTCGTCTGGCCTTTGTTCCGTGCTTTCGCGCATCGTCAGTGATACTCCCTGAGCCAGGCCGAGCCAGATTAATCCAGTGCCGCACTGGCTGTAATGACAAATCAACAGGATGCATGCTGTTTTGTTTTCCTGATAATAATTACCTCGAAGCCAACCTGCGAGTAGTGACACACCAGTACCTTTAGTAGCAATAAATCATGGGGATACCTCGACGCAGCAATGATGGGTGGGATCGAGAACGATAAAACGTTAGCCGTAGACCTGCGTTGAGGACAAGCCGGGCCAGGCGAAGCCAAGCCATGTTTAAGACTTGTTTACAAGCGACACACCTCTGGTTTCAATCACAGGAAGGATGCAACCAGGCCTAGCCCAAATCTCAAAGCAAGCCTTCCGTAAAATGGTTGTACTCCTCCACAGGCTTTAAACAGAAACCGTGCGCAGCGTTTCATCCGGAGCTTCCGGTGAAGCCTGACAGCAATGCCTCTTATATTGAAATTATATACTGCTTCTACTCTACGGACTTGTCTGCAGTGAAAGGGAGCCTTACTCTAGAGGCAATGCCGTCATTTTTTTCAGCGGCAGGGAGCATTGCGGGTTAGAGGGCGAAGGTAGCGGCAGGAGTAAGTGCAATACTGAAGGAAGAATCACGATGACAAATTTCGGTAAGAGTCAAGCATTAGGAGTCAGCAGAGAGACATGCTACAGCCAACCAAGCTCCAAGACGACGACTACTAGCAGTACCAGTACCACTACCACTGCCGCTGCCACTCACAAACACTATAATACTATACTACTACTACTACTACTACTACTACTACTACATACTGCCTTCTACCAACTACCACTACCACTACCACCACTACCACCACAACCACTACGACGACGACGACGACTACTACTACTGCTACTACTACTACTACTACTACTACTACTACTCCTACTCCTACTACTACTACTACTACTACTACTACTACTGTTACTGTTACTGTTACTGTTACTGTTACTGTTACTGTTACTGTTACTGCTACTGTTACTGTTACTGTTACTGTTACTGTTACTGTTACTGTTACTGTTACTGTTACTACTACTACTA